TTTGACTGCTAGGCCTCTCACTCAGACCTGTTCCCTCTCTAACAAGGCTCAGAGCACAGCCTGTCGTTTACAAGAAGAGCTGGAGAAGCTCCGTGCTGCTGGTGGCCCCCTGGAGTCTTCAGGAATAGAAGAGGTTACACAGCTGAAGGTAGAGAATGGAGCTGGGGTACGGGGTGGACTTGTGGGTCTTCAAGGCTTTGGTCACTGTTGTCACTGTTCTGTTGTTGTGAAGAGATACTATGACCAAAGCAATGCTTATAAAAGAAAGTAATGGAGGACTTGTTTATAGTTTCATAAGTTTATTCCATTGTCATGGCAGCATACATGGTTTCGGAGCAGTAGCTGAGAGTGTCATCCTGATCCACAGACCAAGAAAGAGGTGGACTCTGCATGGGCTTTTGAAACCTTAGATCTCATCCCTAGAAGCATATTTCCTCCAAAGACACACCTGCTCCAATACGCCACACCCCTTAATCCTTCTCAAACAGTACCACTCCCTTATGACTCAAACATAGGAGCCCATGGAGGCCATTTTTACAACACCACAGTCATTCTTGGCCATGGACAGGGGCCAGTCCAGAGAACCGCCCAGGCATTGGCTTCCCTTGCCACACTTTAGTAGGGGGCACTTGACCAGCACTAAGCCACATCTCAGTTACAAGTTAGTGTCATCATTTAAATGTAAGCTCTCTTTGGCTTGAAGTCATGTTTCAGATACCCCTGTAGTGTCCTTCACACTGGGCAGTGCATAGTAAGCCATCAGGCTGGAAAGCTGTCCTGGCAGCAGCTGAATTTAACACGGCATAGAACCGTCAGCAAAGGCTGTCCTTCCATCTAGCACTGTGCTTGAATAACCAGATAGATCTGCCTTGTGTTCATGGAGGTCCTCTGAGCTAGCTCTTCTCCTGGTATATCACATGACTTCCTTTAACCCTCTGGCCCACAGGAGAGACTAGAAAAAGAAAAGAGGTTAACGAGTGACCTGGGGCGTGCCGCCACCAAACTTCAAGAGCTTTTGAAGACGACCCAGGAGCAGCTGACAAAAGAGAAGGACACAGTGAAGAAGTTGCAAGAACAGCTGGAAAAAGCAGTAAGTACTTGGTGCAGGTTGGACTGCAGGGCTAGCCTCCAGGCCTCCATGGTTTAGTCCATGCTGTTTAGGGGCCCCTGGGAAGCAAGACACTGGGGACAGAGAACTATAAGGGGGAGCTGACACCTGCACTGCTAGCTTGTCCTCGCTCTGCAGCCTGTGCAGACGCCTTAGCCTGGGTGGAGCCCCTTGTATGCAGGATGACAGATTCTCAGCCACACTCAGACCATACCTTCCTCTCATCTTAGGGTCCCACCAATCCCTGTGCATGTATCTCCCCAGCCCCTGGAGTCGGCTCTGGGTCTCCAGACTGACAGGCTTGCTTTCTCAGAAGTGCCTGGAGGTGTCTGTGGAGCTCCCCCAGGAAAGGCTTTGTGGATCATGGGCCTGGGGCAAGTGGGGGTGCCCTGACTCCTGGCCTGGCCTTCCCATAAATCCACTTTGTTCGCAGGAGGATGGTAGCAGCTCGAAGGAGGGAACCTCTGTCTGAGTCTCCTCGGCAAACTGTTCAACTTACCAAAATGCCTTACACATTCCTTACAAATAAACCAACCAACACCGCGTTATCCAGGCCCAACCTCCAGTGAAGCCATTGGAGACAAGTCTCAGAACCACAGAAATAAATCTTCCAGACCCCCAGTCTGTAAAAGAACCTTTGTCACATTTGATAAACACTATTCCCGGGAGCAGCCCTGGACCACCTCGAGCAGACGCCAAAGCCCTCATCAACGCTGACAGACCAGAGTGTGCTGGGAGTCCAGGCCGCTCGGGATTATGTCAATCAGTGCAATTGTCTGTATTTCTCAGTGGGGCCGGGTCGGGAAGCAACAGGCCAGGTGGTGAGTTCTCTGAGGCTGCTGAGCAGACTGGAGGGCCCAGCCCAGCCCAGCCCAGCAAGGCTGCAGCCCTCACCCCTGGAAGTTGCCAAGCAGAACTGACATGTGACTACCTGGATGTCAATGCCATTAAAACCAACGTGTTGCCCGGCACTGGAGTCTTGTGTGATCTTCTGCTGGGCCGCCTCCATCTAGGTGCTGAGCCCAGGAGGAGGAGTCAAGAGTGGTTGTCCCCTGAGAAAGATGCATTTCTCTGAAGGCTGGGACCCTGATCGGATAGCATGGGAATGGAGCCTACTGCTTCCTGTCTGTCCCACCTCTACCCACTTCCTAAGTTCCAGTGCTCCTGGAGCTGGGCAGTGAGGGTCCCACCAGTGACCTGGATAAATAGCTATGTCTTGGGGCTGTTGTCAGGTGCTGCCACCAACCAACTGCCCTCAGGCAGTAGCCACTCTTGACTTGTGACCTCAGAGCTGGCAGCTCTTGGTGGCCCAATAACCTGATCTAGGGGAACCTTGCCCAAGTGTGGTATAGGGGCTTGCATTGCATAGAGGGAACCTGGAGTTTATGTGGCAAGTATTCACAATAGACTGTGAACCACCAGGAAGGGAAGTGGCTCTGAGCAGCTCCTAGTTCCTGTGCCACGCTTCATCCAGTCTCGTCAAGCTCTTAACCAACCGTCTTAAATCCTGAGAGATTTGACTGGCTGAATGTGGCTGGGGGACAGCTGACCCTTGGAATGCCAAGTCTTATGGGGTAAGGGTGACTGAAGGGTATACAATTCCCACTCTGCTCTGTGGTTTGTATCACATGGTTCTCTGAGGTGGTGGTGGCACTCATGCTAGCTGTCACATGAATCTTGGGAGACATCAGTATGCTTGTGTCCTTCAGCCTCCTCCTCACATCACAGAACATCTGCAAGGTTTTGACACTATACCTGAGACCATGTGGCCAAGTCCTCTGGTCCCAGCTTAGGAAGCACTTGTGAGCCACCAAGGCTTGTGGTGCTTCCTTCCCTGTTAATGACCAGGATGCTGGAGGGGTGCCCTGGGAGACATTTAGTTGTAGGTGATGGAAGGTGGGGAAGAGAAAGTAAGGCTGAGACGGTATTAAGCTCATGTGGTTGGGCAGTATAGGAATGCAGATACCTATTAGACCTGTTACAAAACCTTCAAAGAGGCCATGGCAGGGGGTGAGGGGGTGCTGGAGGGTGGTGGCCTCTGAAACTACAGACTTTGGCCTTGTGGTTTCCCACTGGGAGACTGAGTAGGAGAAAGAAAAGAAGAAAAGACCCTTTCACAGCAGTCTTAGGCAACTCCTATGAAAAGGTCCTTTTTCCCCTATAGGGGTCACAAGCCACAGGTTGAGAATTGCTGCTTTAAGTAGTTTATGAGATGAACTGACCCTTATGGGAATAAACTTCATGAAGCCCAGATGGGTTAGTAATGGGGGAAGACCTGGAACTAACAGTCCCCATGCTTAGGGAGATGCCCTCTGATGGTACAGGAGTAGGGGAAGGGTGCTAACAGCCCACAAACTTATGGAGATGCTCTCTGATGGCACAGGAGTGGGAGACGACATTACATTTTTTGTTATTTTTTTAAGACAGGATTTCTCAGTATAACAGTTCTAGAAGTAGCTTTGTAGACCCGGCTGTTCTCGAACTCAACAGAGATCCACCTGCCTCTGCCTCCTGAGTGCTGGGATTAAAGGCTTGCGCCTGGCTACACTCATTTTTGAGAGGAAAGAGGAACTGAGGAAAGGTGGCAGATATTGGAGTTAGCAAGCTTAACACACTACTCTCCTTAGGCCATCAGTGGGAGCCATGTCTTCCCTTTGGGGAAGGAGGTTAAATAAGACAGCAACAATATAGGGTGAGGCCTGTAGGTACCTTGTGGACACTACAGCATCTCTGGCTCACACCAGCAGAGGGAGCCTGAGTTTGCCAGGCGGTAAACAGCAGCAGTGCTGGATCTTCCCTCAGCTAGCTCTGATCTGACCACCCAGCTGTTCTAAACAAGGTTCTATCCATGATGGACTCTGGTAGTGTAAGATGAAATAAATCCTTTCCTCCTCAAGTTGCCTTTGGACATAATCTTTATCACAGCAAAAACAGACAATCACACCAAAGGTAAGTTACAAATGCTTCCTTTATTACATAAAGCCAGCATTGCTACTCCTAAGTTCAGCTGTTTGTGCATCTCTACATTGGTCAGTGTCATGCCTGTGATGTTAACAATCACATCCAAGTGTTCAGCAGTCCCCTGTGAGTGTCACCTGCTGGTACCTGCTTCCCATTTCACACACAGCTGGTAAACTGCTGTAGGGGTTTGCATCCTACCAGGCCCCAGAGGAAACGTACTCCACACTCTTCTACATCCTGCTGGACCAGATGCAGCAGGGTTCTGAAGGAGAAATTAAAGATTGACAGCACCCTGGCTTATTAATATACTGCTTTATCATTTTTCATTAATAAAGTAGATTACAATGAAGCCCTAATTTGCAATATAATTAGTTGTTACAAGACTTTGAACATTCTCCTGAGGATATACCATGATTTCTAAGACAAAGTCACCGTAAGCAGTTTCCCAGCCGAGGGAGCCTCTCACTGCAGGGACAGTGCTGCTTGCTGCATCCAGCACTGGGCTCTGCATGGTGCTCTGCAACATCAGTGTGAATTCTAAGCAGACACGCTTCTGAAGCAGCCTCATGACATCCAGCAGAGTGAAGACTGCCTGGCTTAGTCTTACTGCTGTTAGTGTAAATTAGTGTTGTACACATTATAAAGAAAATTATATCTCATTATTCTGTTTAAGTCAAGGAAAAATAGAAAATTTGGATGAAAATTATACATAGATTACAATCAGTTTTCTAAGCAAAAGAAACAAAAGTAACTGCTGAGGTTAGCGAAGATTAGAGTTCGCTTCACATTGCCTTGTACTATTTTGTGAACTGTGTTATTAAAAATCCTGGGCTTAACAAAATCTTTACATGTCACCTCATGAAAATAGGCATTTGGCCAATAAGAATTTAATTCCACATCAATGAAACTTTAGAGGCTACATTTATGTAGAGTGGTGGTGTTTGCACACATCTATAGAATTTTTAGTTTAGTTTACTCTAAAAGATGACAAGACAAATTCCCCTCAGTGAGATCTGGCCTAATATTTTTTGCTTTATGGATATAGTGAAAGATAGTGTTAAACATGGAAGCTTCAATTCGTGGCACTGGCTGATGATCTACACAGGGGATCCTTCAAAGGCTACAATTAAGGAGCCACCTAGTTTTTCAGCAATACTAGTCCGGTTGAGATCTTCTGGCCCATTTGCTTGATATTCATGCTTTATACCTAGAGAGAAAAACAAATTCTATTTAGAATTATGCAGCAGCTTACTTATTTCTCCAAGGTAGCAAACTGAAGACCCTTGTATATTACGGACCACAGAATGCTATATCCAATTATGGGAAGAAATAATGCATAAGCATATGAATCAAAATGATGACCTCATAGACATAATGCTAACTGAAAACAGCCAGAAAAAGAAGCGGACACCCTGTTAGGATTCCATTTATTTAACTCTAAACCAGCCCCAGCTAATGTATACAGTTAGAGGCTAGGGTACCAATTACCACTGGGGTTCAGGAAAAGGTAGGGGAATGGTACAAATGAAAGTGAGCATCGAGAAAGGTTTTTGTGGGGTTGGTAATTAGATTAAAAAAACAATCATTATGTTCAGTCTGTGAAATTTAGAGTTCCATAATAATACATACATACTTTACTAAAGATGCTGTACTTCAATAAAAAGGCAGGCCTAGTAATTTTTCTCCTGGCATTTAAAACAGATGGAAATATGGGAGCTAGAGACATGGCTCAATGGTAAGAGTGCTTCTTGCTCTTGCAGAAGACTAGAGACCAGTGCACAACACAGCACTAGTGTGTTTTACAACCAACGGTTTGTGACTCCAGACCCATGGGATCTGGTCCCCTCTTCTGGACTCTGAGAGCACCTGCACTTACATGTGCATGAACCCATACACTGATGCTCACATATGCACGTAATTAAAAATAAAGTAGAAGCTGAGCGTGGTGACACATGCCTATAATCCCAGCACTTAAGAGGCAGAGACAGGTGAATCCCCAAGTTTGAGGTCAGCCTGGTCTACAGACCGATTTCCAGGACAACTAAGAATATAAAGAGAAACCTGGTCTCGAAAAACCAAAAATAAGTAAATAAATAAATGCATAGAATGAATCTCTCTTAAAAAAAAAAAAAAAGCATGAACTAAAACACTGCTACAGAAAACAGCTCTGTGGTGGCATTACACGCCACACTTGAGGCAGTGAACACTTAAGAAGTGGTGTGGATGGGGCCTTAGGACAATTCCATCAGCACACTGTAGAACTAGCTCACCCGTGGGCTTGCACACAGCAGTTTCTCTGCACAGAGCTGCTATGTTTTAAACAGCTGCACAGTTAGCCTATGGTTTGAAGATCATTTCTCAAACTCAAAGCACAATAGGTCAGTTTTTAGACAACTGGGGACTAATTTGAGAAAGCAATTGATGATTCCACTAAAAAGAGTTTCAAGGTGTCTATCATCTAACATCCCTAAATCAAGTCTTACATAGAAATTCTCCTTAACTCTTGGGTTTCATCAAAGTATTGAAACTGAGAAGTCATTTGAAGCATCAGTTGACATATCAGAGAGCACACTATGGTGCCCCAACATCAATGCAAATGCACGCAGAACCCACTGACTTGAGCAGCCGTGGGGCTTGGGAAAGGAAGCAGGAATTCCTTAACTCATTAATACAAGTGAGGGCAAACCAGTTCTACTCCAAGAATACAAAAGCCAGTCATAGAAAACAAACGACCCCAGCACTGGGCAAACCCTGTAACTTGGGCTCCCTCAACTGCTCGGACACTGCAGTGGAAGGGAGGTGGCAGAAGAACATTCAGATCAAGCCTGCTGCCCCAGAGCTGAGAGAATTAAGGCCCATGAGGTTATTGGTTCTAGCCAAGGTCACACAGCAGATAGACAGCAAACTCAGCCCTGTGCAAGCCTCTGGCTTATGCCTCATGCTCTTTCCACCATACCAATGACTTCTGGCTGGAGTCTGGCCAAGGCCACTTCATCCGGACACCAGCTAC